CCAAGTTTTATTAGACTGTTTAATCTCTGCTCTTTTTTTAAATGCTAGAGCTGCTATGGGTTCAACTGTAGCAGGACAGCTCTGGAGAGTACCCACTCTACATCCATCCATCCATCATGAGCGGGTACTCTCAGACACTGCAGATACAAGCTTCTGTTTTCTTTGATGTCCAAACCTCTGAATACCTGTAATGGAGCTCCATGCATTTCTGCTGTGCAGTGTGTGCAGGTACCCTCTGGGCTTGCAGGCAAGGAGCTCAGCTGCAACTGTTGTACCATGGTCTGATTGGTTTCTCCAAATTTCTGGAGGGGACGGATTTTGATAGCTCAGGATCTTTGCGCTCTCATTTGTCTCAATTCTCCGCCTTTTGGAAAGTGCTGCAGACCCATAATAGGTTCTGTGCCATTTATCTGGTTTTCTTACACCTAAACGTTTTTTTTGTTTTGTTTTAGGGTTTTTTTGCTTTGATGTTGCATATTAGATTCACTTCTCAAAGGAGAGGGGAAGTGAAAATACTGTGTGGGGAATGAACTGATTTTGTAAGATAAATATTGTTTGTGCAGAGAGTAGAAGAGTTGTTTAGAAGTCTGATATTCATCTCTCTAGAGTTTGAAAGGAAGTTTGTTTGCTGTTTGAGCTATTTCATTTGCATCCAAATTTCAGCTCATTACACTGTGCTTATCAAAGCTGTACCTGCAGTTTAGGTGACTACAATAACCTCCACTCCCTGTCCTAACCCTCTGGTCTTCTGTTAAACAACCGCTGTGTTTCAGCCTAGAAATAGCTGCATTTTAGCAGCTGGTTAACTGATTTATGAATACCATTTTGTTTGGGAAGTGCTTAGTATCTTTTTGAATAAAAGATACTGTCTCAACATAGAACAGGGTTTCTTACTTTAAAAAACCCAAGGAACCTTGTCTGCCTTACTTTAAAAAACGCTTTTGTTTTCTACAGCAGGTTCATGTTGATTGTGTCTTGATGGAACAACAGATCCTATCTTGTCCTTCTACCAGTATGTAGCGTACCCTACACTGGGAAAACTAGCATATTGACTGTTGCTTAAGAAAATAGTTTGTGCTATGAGTTTGCATGCAGGAAGAATGATAGTCCCTCAAATGGAGATTGCATGCCTGTATTTGAGGGCTAAGCAGATATAAGAATGTGTATCTCTTTGCAAAATGGGACAGACATGAGTTAGGCAGTAGTCTGAACAAATAAGTGGGTATGAGACGTATGCGTTGTTTAACTCAGTTTATTATTGTGATTGCCCTCTAAGTGAGCCGCTGTTGGGGACCTGTCTAAGGTTATCTCCTACAATAAGCCAGGCAACAGTTGGCAGATGAGAATGCTAGTTAATTAAATGCAGGGAGCTTGATTAGCACAGTTGGCTTATGCAGTTCGTAAATAATTCAGACCTGGAAGACATTGATTCCATTTCGTAGCTTCCAGTTGAGCTTTTTAAAAATTGTGACATGCCCAATAGATGAAGATGGATTGCTGTGAACACCCCAAATTTGAGTTTGAGCCATTTGTTATAATCATTTTTAAAGAATGTTTGAACAGATTAAATAAATTCCTATTGTAATTTACAGTACAAAGCTCTGTAGTTTTGCTTTGATTTAATGATTTTTAGTGCATTAAATCTGCACAGCTTTTTTTTGGTTTTTTTTGTACAGGACCAGAAGGAATAAGCAGTGCCTAGGCTTGTCTTCTGCTTGTACAGTAAACAGAGCTATCTAGGATCTAGGCCAGGGGTGGGCAAAATGTGGCCTGCGAGCCAGATGCGGCCTGCCAGGTCTTTCTATCCAGCCCACAGGGCCCCTAAAAAGTTTAGAAATTAATATTTATCTGCTCCTGGTTGCCTGTCGTGTGGCCCTCAATGGCTTGCCAAAACTCAGTAAGCGGCCCTTCACCCAAAATAATTACCTACCCCTGATCTAGGCCCCGCTATTTGTTAGTTATTCAAGGTAAAATACCTGGTAGACTAGAATAAAATGTCTTTTTGTGTCCGTTTTGTTCAAACTTTGTCAGTGTTTCACAAGCTGTGTTAGATACTGGTGCGGCTCACTCTGCAGTTGTTTGCATGTTGAATCTGACATTTTCGAGCCTGTATAAATAAACTATGAGGGAAAGTTGCTCAGGATATCCAGGGTAAGAAATCTTAGATTTTTTTTTTTTTTAATATCAAGAGCTCTTTAACTTTGAAATGGAAAAAGAGGACCTCATGCAGTTAAAAAAACTTACCCACAGTACAGTAGTGATACGCTTACATATTTTTGTGAGGTGTGATAAGATTTCTAGATGAAAAGTGCCATGTGAGTACACAGTAATGTTGTGCAAATGAAGATTATTTCCACCCTCCCAGAAACTAATCTACTTTGAAACAATAGATTTGCCTGTAATTTCAGTTTCTTGTTTTCAAAAAACTTTTTCATGAACACTGAATGTTTTACAGTAACCTTTAAATGTTAGTTATTTGCTAACTGCACAAAATCAAAATGGCAAAAGCATTAAGAACGTGTCTTGGAAAGCATGTAGCTATGTTCTTTAATTTTCACTGCAAAATGTTGTCAGTGCTCAAGGAGAGGCACATGTACAAAACAAATATCACAGCCTAACTGACATTTTCTGTTGATTTACCTGGAGGGAAGCTAGAGTTTGAGTTCATGGGAATGAGAAGGAAGGAAACATATGCTTCCCTGTTTTATTAGTGCTGTTTATTTGCTGACTTTTTGGGCAAACCAGAAAGTTAGGTCTGGTGATGCCAGCCAAAAAAGAAAAGCTACTGGCATTAAACTGCACTATAGCACTAATGCTGCAGGAAAAGTCTGAAGCCTAAAAAGTAAATCCGTGAGAAAGAGAACTATTTATGCTGTGGATATTGCACAAAGCATGTAACTTAATAATAAAAATGGAATTATGGAGGGTTTTATCAGTTTATCTAACACCGTCACTCCCAGTTCTGGTTTTTCACCTGGGAGGGACAAACAGAGCATTGTCTAACAGTCAACTCCTGCATTTGATTCCTAGTTTTGGCTTCTAATTGTTTTGTAATGTTGAGCAAACGCTTTTTTCCCCCTTGGTTTACTAAACGGAATAATTGACCACTAACTTATTTTTAACCCTAAAAGATCTGGCACATGCCCTGAATGCATACCGGGAACCGGCAGATCTGCTAAATATTGGTGCTTTTATGAACATTAATAAAAGAACAAATGGGGTTTTTTTTTTTCATTGTAGGCAACACAATACAATAGAAGAGCAAGATACTTTAAAGGGAAGACCTCTGCTCCAGGACAGGAAGTATAATAGCTGTGGTCTGGATAGCTAGGCGGTGCTGCATAATATTGTCCTGAAGGAGAGCCTTACAATTACATTTTATGTGGAAATTGGCTTGGTAACACTAACAGCTAATAAATCGAGACTCATATAAATGGCCCTATGGAAGAAAATTTAAAAAAGTAAATACATTCCTAAATAAACAACATTTATTTTAAACACAGGAGTAGTATATCAGAACTTGAAATTAATGATAAAAAATGGAATTCACTGATCTGTTTCCTTTTGCCTGAGAAGTGCTAAAAAACCAACATAAACATTGATAAGTAAAACAGATATTTTAAAAGTTTTTAATGTGTATATGGTAAAGTTGGTAGTCAATGTAAGAATAGGATCCAGGGGGGGTTAATGTATAGTGTGGTCCCTTTTCATTCTTATTTTGGTCCAGCCAACAATTTTTCAATACTTAATTTTATAAAAATCTTCCCTTTGACTTCTGTGAAAGCAGTGAAGACTTTACATTTTTGTAAGTGGCTCGTGATTAATTGGGTGCTCAAATGAGATACTTTAAAAGGAGCTCATTTGTAGAAAGTGAAGAGCCACTGCTTTCTGAAAAGATCCAGGCCGCTTTAAGAGTATCTGGAAGTTCAACACCCAAACATTCAGCCAGAAAAATCCCCATTTTCTGTCCAGTTAGTTTTTTTCTAAGACGAATTAAAACTGGTGGCTTAAAAAGATGTGAACTGCAGCAGGCGTTTAAAAAAAATTTTTTTAATAGCTGTGAGAAGCAGTTTGGTTCAATGGGCTGTTGACTGGGAGCCTTGACTGCGTTACTCCTAACACAGTCGCTCACTCTGGGCATGTTCTTGGTCGGACCACCTTGTGCCTCCATTTCTTTTAGACAATAAGGACATGATGTCTTGTTATCCTTGTGAAGTGGTCTGTTGAAAAGCACTGATTTTATTCAACTGAGATTGAATTGGCTTCTCTAAGCCACAGTAATACCAATTGTTAAATGTAAAGTTTTGGCCCTTGATGCTATGTTCAGGCACCTGGAACCCCTGCTGTATTGTTCAGTTTTCAAAATGATCGTTCCAGCAGGCTTTGGGTAGAAACTTTGGTTCAAAAGGACTGACCCTGTGAATCGGGCAGATATTCCATATTACAAGTTCTGTTAGTGATGATGTGGGTACCAGACATTCAAATATACATAGGAATTCAACCCTGCCCTTTTCATAAGAGCTCCATGGTTAATTGCACCATTTCCCGCCTCCACTCACTTCACTGTGAATATCCAGAGCACATGTCAGGGAAAGGCTGTGTCAAAACTAGGCAGTAATATATATATTTTCTTTTCTAATTCCTCCCTAGGGCAAACTGGTCTGCACTGAATCAATAAGCAGGCCAAGCCCCGTGCAGCATGTCGTCAGTCTTTCAGCATGATATGTACATGTGTAGTTTTCATTGACATTTTACAGCTTAATCAGAAAAGGGTGTTGCATTTTTCTTCTGATCCATTCTGCTGACATTTGTGCCAGCATTTCCATTAAAAATCTTCCCAGACTGGAATCCGTTGTACCAGGTCCCAATGTATGATTGATGTTCCTTGTTTTAAGTTGTTCTAAAAGAATATGACTTTCAAGTTATATTGTATTAGATTAAAAATGTCTTTTTCTGCTTGTGTATCTTATTCGTGGGGAGATCTTTTCACTCTGAGCATGTCTCCTGGGCTCCAGAGCCTGCCCTGTAGTGCAGGGGAGAGACACTCTTCAGATGCAGCTGAATAAAGTCCATTTCAACCCTGTGGTGCCAAAGGAGTGAGTCCGCACCTGGGAACAACATTGCAGCCCAGTATCGAACCCTCTGCCACTCTGGTAGCACCACTGCAGTTCCTTTTGAGTTGACATCAGTGGGAGAGAGGAGGATCCTTATGGTATGTGACAGGATGCAGAGTGACTAAGCTGAAAGCAAGGTGGCACCTTAGATACTACTTGATTCAAAGGCAGAGATTTTGTAGAGGATGGCATACTTCACCAAATGAAAGCCTATGCCTCTGAACAAGCTTCTCTCTCTCTCAGCCCTTTCCTCTGCCTGACTTCAGACCAATGTGGCTCACAGCTCTCTATACTCCAGACTGATTCTAGAGAATGGCTGAGGAGCAGGGAGCATGAGATTATCCATCGCATTTCTTAGTGTCCTAGCCTTGAAGGTGCCGTCCCTTTCCATTCCTCATTGTTACCTGTTGGCCATTATTCATCTTTGCATCTGTATTTGTAGTGGAACTCTCATCTTTTGTGTCAGAGCGGCAGTAAAAGTATTGTACAGCGGGAGCCCAACCTTTCCCATTTTCTGTTTTCATGCAAGGATGGTTCTACATAGGTAGCAATGAACAGGAAGCAAGACTGACAGAGAAAAACGTAAATGTTCACAGCCTTGCAGGTCAGACTTCAGCCTCAAATGGACAAGGAATTGGAATCAAGCAGCTTTGGCGATGAGTTGTTTCCTCCGTTTTCTGGTTCCTTTGCCAGGGGAGGAGATGGGGCTGGCTTGTCAAAATCAAGGTGTGGAGTAGAGGAAATGTTGCTTTGCTTGTAGCACAGCCACTGTCCCATTTCTAAAATGTTTTTAATCAGAATGTTGCTTATGGGAGTCTCTTTCCTGTTATTTTGCAATCCCATAATTGTGCAGCAATTTGCCAAGGAAACATGCTGTACATGTGCTTACTATTGTTAGGGACCAAAAGGACAAAACCTTAAGAATTAGGTACATGTAAAGACTGTAGTTCCGTGGTTTAATATTCTGTAAAACAAGTCATATTTTTTACCAACCAATGTGGATATTGTCTCAAGCATAGCTCCTGCTGTACTGCACTTTGCTTAACTTGGTTGGAAAGATGTCTTCAAGTTGAGTCCTGATTAGTGATAGCACATGTACACGCCAGCGTGAGGGACTGCTAGTAAGCACTCTGTCCAAGCTGTATTATGAAGTATTATTTCAGTTAATAGTACATTTTATTTTTGGATAAACATTACACTGGTCTCTTTATTATTTGAATTCAAAACTATATGTAGGGGTTATTTTCTTTTTCCTTTGCACCTGTGTCATTCATCTCTGATCTCTACTTTTTCTGTATCATTGGTTTGTACTTTCATTTGAACTGCAGTGGTTATTTGTATTCTGGCTGTAGTGAAGCATGCATGCTTACTCTGTGACTATTTCTCTGCTTGGTACTTAGCTAGCTCTTGCTGTCATACTGTACTGCTGTACAATGTCATGAGAATAGTACTACTTTATGGTAGAATTTAGCTGAACTCAAAACCCCCAATAAAATCCTAGTGGAAAAGCCACCGTCATATCTCTATCTTTGACCTTGACACCCTTCTATTTTGTCCTGCCCAAATTTCCAAGAGTCTAAAAACTTAGAAATTACCTAAAAAATGTTTTCAAAACTTCAGTCATCAAAGACATTAGTAATTACGGCAGATGCAGGTAGTTTCATTCTGCCAACTATAGTAGGCCGAGAGCTGAATATAGCTCTGAAACTTCTTCGACATGGCAGGTGGCAGGCGGTGAGGAATGCAAATACAGTTCACAACTGGGTAAATTACTGGAGTGATAACATAAGGGTTAGATGTGGTCAGGCTGTTTGTTTCTCTTTGAACTGGGCAGAGAGAGGAGTGACTTAACATGAAGCTTTGGAAAGGCTCTTGCAGCATGTCTGACACTTTTTTTTGCTCTAGTTACCTTTTTAAATTGTTCTGAGATTGATTACGCTTCCTAAGAGGCTCTTCTGACAGCCTTACATGTTCAGGTATAGCTAGGCTCAGAAGCTGCCGATAGCAAGCAGCTGCCTGACCCACACAAAGGAGTGTTTGAGAAAAATTTCCTATTGCCATCACCAGGATTGGAAGGTCACAGTGACTGGGCTGGCTGTGTTGCGTCCCTGCCCAGGATTTCACTGAACATCCTGTCGCCCATTCCCCCATATGTTTGGGCTCAGGGCTTTCCTTCTCCTGGGATGAAATTCTAGAATTTACCCACTCTTTGACCCAGATCAAAGCCCTTCAGTACTGGTCATGGACACTGCAGCAGGGCCAGCTGGGGTGTGAATCCTATGGCTAACCACTCTCCAGGAGCTGAGCCCTAGTAGTTAATACGCAAGACCCACGTGCCCTTCTCGAGTACTGGTGTTTAACATCAAGAACAGGAGCATGGCAGAGACGTTGGCTTCTGTTTGTGTTTTGAACAGACCTGGTTCTTCCATAGCCCGTGCTTAGAGAGTGCTGCTTGCTCACAGTTCAGTCCCCCATTCCTTCCCTGTCCGGCAGATGCACGCCAGGCTGACCAGTTCTGTCCCTTTTTGCTGTGGTACCTTGTAACCAGTAACAGTCTTTTGGTCTCTCGGGTTCCAGTCTTGGCCAAAAAGGCCTATTTAATTGTTCTGGCCCCTGGAAGTGGTATTGCCTCACTGTTCTCCTAGCTGCTTTGAAGTGGTGTACCCATCACTATCTTATCTCTTAGTCCTTGTTTCAGTTCTTGTGTCTCCAACGCCCAGCTTTGATGACTTAACTCAAGCAGGCAGAAATATAAAATTGAACAGAAAATGGAGCCATGTATCAACAGTCAAAAGAATAATGGGATTCTTCTGGTTTGTTACTGGCAGAATTTAGGACCTTCTAGTGAAATGACTGCTGAGCACCAGGCATGAAACCCTGGCTCCGCTGAATTCAGCAAGGCCGAGATTTCACCCCCTCTGGCTGACACAGCAAAAAGTCTGGGTTCAGAGCATGGCAGGAGTCAAAATATACAACTAGGTCTAAATGAGTGTGTGGGGTTTAGATGCCTGGTGGTACCTGACTGCTCCTCCCCTTTCTATCCAGCAGTACCATTTTCCTGTCCCTCAGGTTTGGAAAAAGCCCCTGAATGAACTTTATGCATCTCTGCTGGATGCAGCTGCCCAGGCTGGATTCTGTGATGATTTGCCTTATAAAAAGCAGTTACCCTCATGTGCCAAGTTATTGAGAATCCTGCAACTTGACATAGGTAAAAGTAACAGGGTTGAAGTAAATAATAAGGTACGGGCTCTTCTTTTTCAGAGCTGTGGAAGTGCTAGCTCAGTGACAGTGCCAGAAACTCTGTTGTTTGTTTCAACTCTTGATGGAAGTTTGCATGCTGTCAGCAAGAGGACAGGGGCAATCAAGTGGACTTTAAAAGAAGGTGAGTAGGAGGTGTCATTGGGCCTTCCCTGCAAGAAATTAAATAACTGCGAAATCGAGAAATCATTGCGCATACAGAAAGATGCATTTCTTTGGTTTGCTCTTCTGGATCTGCCTGTGTCTTAACTGCAGTGGTTTAGGAATCGTGCTGGCCTGATTACCATACCCGATGTCTTGAAGTTAAAGCCTGCATGATGGTGATACGTGTACAGCTTTATTTGCCTCTGAATGTAACCTTCCCTGTTCAAGATTTTTCATTTGCCCAGCAAGGCTTGATTCTAGTGATTTCTTTGATGTAAACCTTTTAGGTGCCATTGTCCTCCACAGGCTGGATTATGCAGAAGGAAGGGCAGTGTGGCACCTTATAGACTAACTCATCTTTTGCCTAACTCAAGACTAAAATGACTGACTACCTCTTAAAACTGGATTGTGCACAGTACACCACTCTGCTTGAGGCTAACCTTGTAATTTGAAAGCTGCTCAGATACTACAAAATACTGCCTGTGCCTGGTGGGTGTTGTGAGGAATGTAGCAGGAAAGAGTCCCTGAACACTCCCTAACTCTGTGTTTGCTCCCCAGTGTAATTCAGAGTGTAGACATGCTCGGTCTGGAGAACCATGAACACAGGTGTCATGGGCTCAGAGAAGGTATCCAGGTGCTGTGGTCACAGGTACAGTATAAGGATCTGAACAGAACAGAAAAGGATCAATCTGCCAGGCTGTTTCAGCTGTTCACCTGTGGAACAAAGAGGGACAGGGTTTGTTGTAGAAGACTCTTAGCTGTGGAATATGCTTCTCGCCATGTGCAACATATGACATGGTGTAACGCTTCTCTCTCTTCTCTGTGTGCCTGAGAAGAAGGGTAATAGGGACAGCACAAGGTTAATGATGCCATCCTTTTATTGACATGGAAGAGTGAGCTGTATTTTGTAATAGTGTTTGGTGACGAGACTAGATTCTAATGCTTGAATTAATAAAATAACCACAGAGAGGACTCTTGAGAACAGCTTCTTCAGTGTTTCTTTATGAAAACACATTTGTAACTGGCTGTGGTTGGTCCTGGATGACTCTGTGTATGATACGTGAGCCTTTTTTCTTCATCTCTGGAAAACCATTAGAAAGCAACAACCTGAAATGGAGTCATAGTGATTGCAGCCTTTGGCTCAGTGTTGGTAAACCAATTGTTGGTTCAGTAGGCAGGTTGAATTAGTGGTAAAGGACTGTGCTTATCAAATTGATGTCTGCTCTTCAAACCATCCCTCCTGAGGCCATTTGTCTTTTGAATTCGGATCCACCAAGCAAGGAGTTAATTGTATGCTTTTTAAACTCCTCTTATCTACAGTAGAGTAGGAAAAGGCGAGCCCACAGATTGCTGTCTTGGCATACGGCTCTCTCCATAGATTTTTTTCTATCTGTACCAGAATTATTTTCCCCTTTTAAAATTCAAGCCCCGTCCATGCCTGAACAGACTTGACTAGAAGAATGAAAGCCAATACCCTCTTAACTCACTATTGCCTTGTTGCTTTGAGCTATATTAGAAGCTTCCTCTGGTTTCTCCTAGTCTCCGTACTGACATGCATATAGATATTTCTCCCTATCCTGTGAAGGATGTGTGGGCTTAGTGCAGTGGATAGCCTTTACTTGTAGACAGCCTTATTAAGGGACATGAGGTCTCTGAGGAGGCATGGAGGTATTAACTAATGAACATGAAAGGATCCTGGTTTAATCCAGACTGCCTAAATATAATTCCCCATTGTAAAAAAATATATATATATATATGTTGCAGAATACAATTGGCAGCACTCTGTATCAACTGGTTTTGAAGGATGTGTATTGTTTTTTTTCATGTCTCTGACAATGTTATTCTAGATTTTATCTGCCTGTGGTGCACTCAACTGGTATTTTCGTGAAATGCTTATCACCAATGGGTTTGGTTCTGTACACCAATAAAAACCACAAACCTACATCCAAAAGTGTCAGGTTATAGTTGCTAGCATTAGAGCTCATTTCAGATCCAGCTTCACAATGGTTTAGCTTAGTGCAGTGAAATTTCGAGAGCAAAGACATGAGTAACCTGGGAACTGAAGGTGGAAGCTGCTTCAAGTTGAACTTGGCATTTCTGACCCTTCTGTTCCTGGTCACTGTTGGCAGATGGCCCACATGAAAGGTGTGTAACACTCGTAGCGTAGTGACTGGAGTCAAGCATCAGAGATGGCTAGCTACCTACCACCTTGCTATAATGTGTTAAATGCTAAAATATGTCAACTTTAGTCTTAATTTCAATGCCTTCTCTTTTTGCTCTCTTGTCTCTGTTAATTGTACACTTGTAAAATATACAAAACTCTACTGGTAAGGTGCAGATACAGTGTCTTCCGACAGGTGCTTCTGTACCCTGGATATCAGAGAACTGAGCACATGTTGCTGTTCACACAGCTTGAGAGTTTGGAGATCACCTGCCATAAGATAGTGTTTGTTGTTATGCTTAAGAACTTTGATGTTTAGCAAATTCTTGGTTGAAGGTCTGCTCATGTCTTGAAACTGAGAATGAAATGAGTAAGGGGAGTTGTTCAGGGTCTAGCAGTGATTAAGCAGATGCAAAGATCTTGCCATTTGTTTATGTTGTTTTTAAATTAGCAATAAAACCTATCTTAAGTACCCAGAGTAAATGAGCCAGTTCCTCTTGTCACCACAAGTACATATTTGGGTTTCCTGCCCTTGTATAGTGCTGCCAAGAAAGGCATTTTGAATACTTCTACTCCCTTTTCCCTAGATGTATCCAAAATAAACTGGGTCAGGTACAGTTGAGAGACCCCATGGTTTAGAAGAGGCAAGTGTATACACTACACTTAGCTGCAGCACATACTCTGGGCCTAGTTATAATAAGGTACCCTCAGCTCTCATTAGCTTAAAGGGAAATTGGTGCTCAGCAGTTTGCAGAATTGGGCCCCCAGCAACTATGTAGCTGGTGCCCTGGGCTTTCAAAAGATGGAAGGTGGTTCTACAGTGAATAGAAGAAAGGTGCGGGGGAGTTCCTGTTTCAGAAGGACTCTTGTCCTTGCTGGAGCCCCAGACAACTCATCCTTTGCATCTTGAAGCTCCAGGATGGCCACCACCTCTGAACAGTTCTCTAAAGTGCTACTTCTGATCAACATGAGTAGCTCTTAGGTCCCGGCAGTTCAGTAAGCTCTATTACCTCCTCCTCTGTCACTCGCAAGTCACCACCAAACAAAAATCAAGCTGCAGCACTTCAACTTATTTTTTTCTTTGTTTTCCCATTAATTTCTGCTTCCTTCTACACTGTCTTCAGACTGTCCTTTTGTACCAAATGACCTCTTTCTCATAATTCACTTTCTCCTAAAGCCCACTTTTTCAATTAAATATTTCAGCAGTCGTTTACCAAAGGGATATATTTACACTATGCCTAGGTTTGAGACTAGATTTGCAGCCAGTGGGTGCATCTACACAGGATATTAGCACGCAGCAATAACCTTTAAAGTTTATTGCTTCCAGGCATGTTGTTTAATGTATGCCCAGAACTGAGGCACGTTGAGCCAGGTTGGAGCAGCTGGCTGGTGGGGAGTCCAGGGGGTCTGCCTGCCAGCCTGGAGCTGCTCCCCCCGGCTCTTTGTGCTGCAGAGGGGCTGGCTGAGGCACAATGGTGCCCCAGTGTGGGGACTAGCAGGCAGGCACCCCCGCACTGAAGCACCCTCGTGCCCCAGCCAATTGCGTCAGCATCTACACATGTGCTATTGCAGAATTAATTATTTTCCTGCTGCCTAATAGGTCTGCACGTGTAGACACGAGATGTTTAGTGTGAAGCTAATTCGTTTACTGTGTCTCGTGTAGTAAATGTCTCGTGTAGACGTGCCCAGTGTAGATTGAATGGTGTGATTTCGAATGTACAGTCATTAAGGCAGGGACTTCATGTTCCTGAGTTCTGTACAACGCTAAGCAATCAACAGCATTCATTTTAATTGTTTAAAGGGGCTCCATTTCTGACGATTGTCTTCTGCAACTTAGCTTAGCTAAGTCAATAGTTCATGAATAAAGCTGCAGAATTAAACTGTTTGTGTGCTGAGCACCGTTAAGAGTGCTGGGCTGAGAGCTGTAGCGGCAACGATAATCATAAGGGTTGCCGCAGCCTGGGAAGGTTCTTTAGTCCAGATCCAAGATGAAGCCTGTAGTGACTGTAGAGAGAGATGGCTGCTAAGGTCTTGTGAGCTGTGAGGCCTTCACTTCCCAGGAGCAGGTTCCAGAGGATGCTGAGTCTGTGTCTCTAACCTTTTTGAGAGAAGTTGCATCATGTAGCAAGGATGATGTGCACGTGTTTTAACTCTGTCCGTTAGCCCAAGACTTGTGCTGGGCCCTAGCGCAGGAAACCGTTTTTTCCAGTTTGTTCCACGGTGGTAGCAATTTGTTCATTTGCTCTTTCAGAATCTGCCACTTCTCCTTTTCGGTCATTGGTTTCATGGTTTTTTTCTCAAGCTACAGGCATATTACACTGATTGAAATCTGTAAAAATATTGCAGGCATTCGGCCTAAATGGCTCTTTGGTCAAAGAGCAGCCTTCTCCTTATCTAGGTTTTATGAGGCAGGTCGAAAATTTAAAGTGATAGATGCTGTAATGCTATAAACAGAATTATGCTAGAAACTATTCTCAGATATTGCAAATATGATAGATTTTTTTTTTCTTTAAAATTCCAGACTTTGGCCTCAAAATACTCTATAAAATCAATGCAGAATAAGTTAAAATGTCTTGTCCTTGAGGCCCAACAACAGTATGATACAAACAACACTGAGTCAGGTTGTTTGGTTGTTACCTGGTTAAAATGTTAATGCCAGTGAGACATACTTGGGCTTAATTTATGGGCTAAATCCTTGGACAGTCCTTATGTTAATAGGTTCCCCCGGTTCTGCTCTTGCTGTAAGCGGCCTTTAGAGAATCTAGAATTAACCTCTTACACTTTTCCTCTTTTTCCAGCAGAAGGTTTTGCAATAATGG